AAAGCGTGCTCATGGATGTTCAACCAACTATCAGAAACTACGCCATTGAGAGGTCCCGGTATGATGCACAATTGAAGCTGAAATGAAACTGCCCTGACTGGAAGGTGTCTGCACTGCACGAAACACGATCTGATATTCTCCTTACTGTGATCCGGCCAGAAGTAGGGCATCAGCAGGACGTGGCCGAACTATGTGAAAGTCACTAACAAGCCCGGTGCAGCCTCGCTTTAAGCTGAACACTGGGCTTGCAAGCCTCATTAGCTCTCCGGAGGGAATCATTTCCTGCGATGCCGAGCACGATCCTAGAGCAGAAGCCTTCTTGTTGCAGGTAAGCCCTGGAGCGGCAGACAAAGCCCCACCTGCTCCAGAGTTTGCCGGAAAGCTTCTGTCGCTCCTGCGTGAGCACGATTCCATGATTCTTTCAAGCTGTAAGCTTTGTCCCTGCAGCATCTGCCGAAGTTGTCATTTCTCTTGACAAACACCAACCGACGAAGTACGACTCGAAACTGGAAATTCTGCTTTGCAGCGTTGAGCTCAGATACTTGCAGGCGCCTGTTCTGCCAGGGTTAGGTCCGGCTTGAAGCGTTCGACCTCATTTCACGCACCAGCTTCGGGTTTCTTGCATTCTCCAGCTTCATGGCTTTGCCAGAATCGGGAATCAGTCGATGCCGTCAACGGGGTGGCTCAGGAGCAGCTTCAGACTGCGTCTGCTCGAGACACAGAGAGAGAGAGAGAGAGAGAGAGAAGGACGGAGTTCAACCTCAGCCTAGAAACAGCGTCGGGGAAAACAGCATGTGTTTCTATCAAGCTCAAATCAGTTCGACGACTCTGCACCAGCTGGAGCAGCTCAGAAGTCGAAGCAAACGAAGCGACACGGTGTCGAAAAGCAACCGAATGGTCAGGTCCCTGGCGACGCTCAGCTTGCCAAAGTCGCCCTGGCCGGAATGCACCGGTGGTGCAATCACCGGCCGGGTCCGAACCTCTGCCAACTTCAAAAACTCGAGGGCGCACTGCTCGTCTCAAGTACGAGTAGGTGTCGCTGCGACAAGCATGCGTGCAACAAGAAAAAAGGGCACTGGCGATGTCGCTGTTTGCATAGCCGAGACACCTTGGACCCCCTGGGAGTGCGCAGCCCAACACCGACGCCGATGCCTGCAAGCAAGCTTGCAGAAGAGCGCGGCCACCAACCCACGAGCACTCCTCTCGTGACAAGCTTGGATCAAGTCGGAGTGGCCTGCTTCCATCAAAACCCCTCATGAACATTGCCTGGAACGCTCCCACTGGTCGAAGCTCCCCCTTCTCGACGTGCACCTGAACACTACCAAACGGCATTAACTAACGTTTCCACGAAGCTCAAATACAAAGTCGACAAAGGCATGCTCCACGGTCCAAAGGCCATTCGTTGCAGCGGTATGTCTTCAAGGTGTCAAGAGTTCGTGGTTGTTGGGCTGAAGCTCTTGAAGGTGCATGAAGGTGCTCTCTGGTTTCGTGGCAGAACAGCGGCGGGAATCAGAGCAAGTATCTCTCCTCCCCCACGAAACACTACACCGATACAGATATACGCACATGTAAACATGCACATGCAGATGCACACATGTGTGTCTATATATATATGTACATATATGTACATATTTTTTTATGCATGTATGTATGTATGTCTGTGTGCATGTGTACGTCTACAAGCTGACCCTTCAAAATGACCTCATCGGTCAGCTTGAAGCAGCTACCTTCCGTATCATCTTGAGTACCAGGGACGACCCATACCTCATCGAGCATCAAAACATAGTCCAAGAGTTCTCAGCGAAGACGCAGCACTTGCACAGAGGCAACCAAGAGGGCAGGGACATACGTGCGTCAACCAGGCAAAAACGGAGGATGAAGGAGAGCCGCACATCTACGGCTGGTCGACGAGTCGGCGACCAAAGACTTGCAAGAGATCTTGAGGCAGCACACCGAGAGCATTGCTGACCTCAACATGTTGTTCGATCTAGTTTTCGTCTGCTGCCGCACTGGACGCCGCACCAGACGCGGGTGCGAGGCGCCAGAAGTGTGCCGTAGATCAGTACAGCGCGCTCTGAAACTAGAGCCGGGACAGAACTGGCAGCTTCTGAGCTGAATGCCGCCAGACAGGACGCACAGACAGGTTCAACTGTTAGCCAGACTTGCCGCTCAAAGGCAAAAATATACCCGCAACCTGCACAAAGATTTCGGACTTCAACGGCACATATGATATACATATGCGTATACATCCGTGCACATACACATACACACACACACACACACACGTCTTTACACTTATACCCCTGAGCACCTGTACACAAACACCTTGCTTGACACACACAAATACCCAGACATACACATATCAGTTCACATTTTCATATGGGCGGTCATCAAAACCTCTTTTCAATCCCTTGACGCTATCAAACCCTTGCGCGCTTATGGTGCGCGCAGCTTCCGCGGAGCGAACTGTCCCTTATGCGCCGGCCCTGGAGTCAGCTCTTAAGCTTTAAGCCTTCCGCGCACCCTTCCGCATTTCAGGTCTTTGCGCACACTCCTTCCGCACATCGGTTTTAAAAGCAACCGGTGCGCAAGCCTTACGCTCATGCGACTGTTGCTTGCCTGCGCTTGCGCGCCCATTCGTTAATGCCGGCCCTAGTCTGGCTAGCTCTTCGATGGTTAAGCTCTCCGCTCATATACCTACAAGTATACAGTGTATAGACCCAGACAGGCAAACAGACAAACAAACAAACAGAGTCATGCAGATGCAATGACCCACTCACAGCTACTTACATGCAGCTGCAAAAAGATGCGGGGCACGGACTGTGGTATAAGAGTCGATGGTGATGGTAAGTTGATCTCGCTCGAATGCTTACATGCCATGGCATGCTGTCACCAGAGCTAGGAGTGATGTGTCTGCCATCCGAGCACCTCTGCTCTGCGGATTGTGACATCCCCATTACCCTTACCAGAGCACCCATGCTGGAAGCATCGTGACGTCCATGTCGCCAGAGCATCCTGTTCCGAGAGTATCCACGGCCCAACGATGACGACGACGATGCTTGCAGCAGGAGTGACAGGTTTATGCGGGTTTCACTGTGCAAAAACATCGTAGTTGCAAGAGTATTCACATCGTTTCATGTTCCGGATTTCGGTGTCCTTGACAGTGAGTTCAAGCAAAAACTAAGGTGACCAAATCATCGTCATGCATGCATCTGCATGCCAGCATCAGGTGCTCCCAGAAGAATCAAGGACTGTCAGCAACACCATGCTTGCCCAGAATCAGATAACACAAAAATGGGCTAGCGAATCCCAAAACCCTAGCCCTCGGCCTTTCTACCGCGATGCAGCGTCGAGCATCCATCCTGCGGATCATCGTCAGCGGCTGGCCTATATGCGGGCTTTGACACCAACCCCCTTTGGAGCTGCTGACGATAAAAGAAGCTTCAAGCTTCGCCTTCGGCTTGCCTGGTCATCTCGAACTCTAGTTCACGAGCTCTGCGACGGTCTTTACATTGCCGCTTCCGGTGACCAGCTTCTTGCCGTAGGCGTTGGGCAGCTGGAGAATCGCATAAGCTCCATGGTCCGCCCCGAAGCACGCAATCCCTCATGGGGTTTCCTGGCCTCCTTGGTGAGCCCATCCGAGGGCATGGTCATTCCAGGTACCCCAGCGCACCCATCTTTTCGTCTCGGGCTCATACAGGGCCTCCTTCAGGATGGCGATGTCGATCGCCAGCCTTCGGTCCTCGCCGTTGTTGATGCTGTTGAGAACGTCGTAGCCGGTCTTGGAGTCAAGGACGAGGATCTTCTTCCACTGGTTGGCACTCCACTGCCAAGCGGGAAGAAAGAAGTGTGAGTCGAGGATCTCGCTCATCATGGCCCGGACGAACTCGCACTGGTCCAAGGTCTCGGCTGCTTGGGAGACCTCAGCTGCCAAGCTAGACCTCACCACACGTTTGATCACCGCGCTGTGGTACATGAGGCAATTGACGGTGGTCTCCCTCTCAAGGATCGCCTCGCTTGCAACAAGCACCATCATGCCTCCTTGAGAACGACCCTTCGGCATGCTCCCACGCGAAGCATCGCTCACCGCCAGGAAGACCATGTCTTTGATGTCACCCTCGATGGCCCGGAAGTGGCTCTCGTAGTGCTCGCGAGCTCGGGCGACCAACGCCTTGAGAAACTTCATAGTTTCCGGGTCTTTGGACCCGGCCATCTGCTGAAGCTTCGAGATGCCAGAAGCCAAATCGGCACGGCCTTGCCGGGCCATCCAGTTCAGTTGGCCCCCAACAGAAGAGACCCATTTCTTCTCGTCGTCCGTGAGGGGGCATCGGTCTCCTGCCGTTCTGGTGGGAGGGTCCTGCAGCTTGTGGGCGTAGCCATCCATTGAGATCGTCACCTTGAAAGTCTCAGGACACTGTTTCTCCCACCTTCCGCAGAACTTGATCACCTAGTCCAGGGCCGACCGCCACTCACCAAAGTGGAACTTTTCCCGGAGTTGGGCAAGGACCTTCTCGTGGGCCGGATCGAAGGCCATGAGCAGGTCGTCGACGTGGATCGCCAAGATGCCCTTCAACTCGCCCTTGTCAAAGTACACAAAGGTGCCGGGGGCGAGCTTGAGCTCCTTGCTTTTGAGTCGCCGGTACCAGAGCCGAGGAGACTCGGCCAGGCCGAATCCACCTTTAGTGAGCCTCACTAAGTCTCGCCTCATTCTCTTTGTCAAGGGTCCAGCGAGTCTCTGGAGGAGGTGCTCAACAATCTCCTCCGGGTAGCTCTTGGGCATCTTTGCAAACACCACTCTTTCTGCGCATAGATTTTCTCCTTGGAGGAACGCGGCTGAGATGTCCGCGAACTTCATGGGCCACTTGACCGGGGCCTCCAGCTCAACTGCGGGCGGCACATAGAGCTCTTCCGAGCTCCCATTGATGAGCTCGGCGGTCACCTTCGTGATCTCTGCGGCGTGGACCTCCCAGTTACTCTGGGCTTGCCGAACTGCTCCTCTTTGTGCTCGCATAGCTTCTCCCCAGTGCCAAGTCTTGCACGCGTGGAACACTGCATGGCCTCGGTGACTCGTTGGCGTAGGTGGGGGAGGTGTAGTCGAAGATGAAGCTCTGGCCCCCTCCGAAGACTCAGGTGCCGGAGGGGGGTGTCTTTCCAACACCGCTTTCATGCGGGAGATGTGTTGCGAGGCCTGCGACATAGCATCCTCGAAACGAACCTTCTTGGCCTCGTGCGACTCGTTGGGAGGTATCGGTTGGGGGTTTGGTGGCCCCCTCTTGTGATCCCGATGTAGTTGCACGGGCAAGTCGTCGAGGACACTCGCGGAGGGGAGGCCATTCGGCTGTAGGTCCTCAGTTGGGATCACCTCCTCTTCTTCATCCCCACTGAATTCCAGTAGGTTCCCGGGGTCCTCGGCCTCAGGATCCATCATCTCCTCCACGTCTGGGCGTTCACCCTGAAGCTCCTTTTCAACTTCTTGTAGAGCTTCTTGGCATACTCGGGATCCTTCCACCTCCTCCAGGGCTGCAAGTCGCACAAACTCTAGGGATTTATTTAAGCGTATCCACCCGCTTGATGACGCCGTTCTTGCGCTCCAGGGCCACCACCACCGCGGGCCCGGTCCAAGACACGTGATCCTGAAGTCGTTTCGGTAGGCCTCGTCGACTTCCGGGAGGGTCGTAGAAGTAGACCACTGCGCCTTCGTACAGCATCTCTAGACGGGGATGCCGGGACCTCGAGTGGATGGCCTTCCGATGGGTCTCGTGGCCATCGGCCCAAATGAACGCTTGGGAGGCGGCATAGCGAATCTCCTCGTTGCGCCTCCTGGCATCGTCGAACGCGAGGTCCTGGTTCATCACATACCGGAAGTGTCCACTGGACAGCTGCTGGAGGAGCGAGGAAGGGATCGTCACGTCCTTTCCCAAGACAATTTGAGCCGGCGAGGATCCACCCACTCTCATTTGCCTGTTCCGGGCCGCCACTGACGCCAAAACGCACTCCTTGGTCTCACTGTAGCCCTTGGCCGTCGCGCTCTTGATTGTCTTCATGGCCAGGAGCTTCAACACGGCGCCGTGTCTCTCGGCCGAACGCATTCTCCACTTCGCCGTGGGAGGGACGATGTCGCGCTGGATGTCGAACGCCCTGAGGAGCTCCTCCGTCTGCTTGGCGAACTCCGCACCGGCATCGGTCATCACAATCTGCGGTGGGCCGAAAACACCTATCCAGTGGTTCTTCAGAAAGTGAGCCACTCGATCGGAGCGAGTGCTCGGAAGTAGCGAGGCCGCCTGGTACAAGGAGAAGGCGTCGACCGCGTGGATCACTGCGTGCTTCGTATTCTCGCTGTCCCGAAGAAGGCATCGGCCACCACTCGCTGGTTGAACCTCTGGGGGCGGTCATAGGCTGCTCCAGGAGGTGGTCGGGGTCCGGTTACCATCTGGCAAACTTGACAGCGTAGATCCCCGGCGGCTCGGAGGATATGGTCTTTTGCTCCATTAAGGTGGAGCATTCGGCATTCGCTTCAGCTTTGCCGTCGAGACATGTCCCAGGACCACATGTAGTTTCGCCAGCGTATTGCGAAGCTCCCTTGACAAGGAACCACTCGCTCCCTCGAAGTAAATGTAGTCGTACTTGTCGCCGGTGGCTTGTCCTAGGTGGCTTCGCAAAAGGCCTTCAGGGGTCGTCTCAACCTCCACGGGCACCGTCTCCCAGTGAACTTGACGAGAGCAAGGCTCGTGAAGACGCGGCTCGTCGTGACCATTTTGTTTCACCCCCAAAGCTTCACTGGCCGAAGTCAACACTCGCCTCATCCACTGCTCAGGACACTCGCTCGCACTTAGGGCGCGGGGCTTGTCTGGCCCATCGGGTTGCTTGGTAGTGCCCTCCACGGCTTCATGGCTTCCTGGGGCATGTTCACATCGACCTTGAACTAGAAGCAACGACCAGAAGTAGGGGTCATTGGCTTCCCTGGATCTACGGCACCAAACTGACATAGATCTACGCGACCAGAAAACAACGGGTCACGCCCTCCGACTGGTACTAGACAATCTCCCTGATCGTGCCTTCGAGGAACAGTCGGATCTTGGGGTCCATCTGGTCGCGGACCAAGACTATCTCTAAGATACTCCCATTGCTCACCCCCTCCGACTGGTACTGGACAATCTTCCTAATCGTGCCCGAGAGGAACCGTTGGATCTTGGGGTCCATCTGGTAGCAGATAGCCTGTGGCGCCCAACAGGCGCAGCTCATCTCGCCCCGGGCACATCATCCGGGCCGGCACCTTGGCTTTCAGAGCGCGTCCTTTGTCTTGGTTCCAAGGTGACCAGGGCCCACACATCGGCATGATGATCACCAAGTCCGGCATGGCCTCACGCACCCGGGCCATCAACTTCACGCACTGCTTCTCGGAGGGCGGGGACGGTTGGTCCCATAAAGGCCCGGAGCACTTCCACGGGACATCTCCATCATGACGATGCCAAGGCGCCGCCGTAGGGAACACCTCCAGGACATGCCATCGCATTGGGATGGTCGCAGCCAGCGTGAGGAGGCTTAACGGTTGCTGAGTGCTTGACACCACGTTCTTCATCTTCTGGATCAGTCCTCGCAATGGCTTCTTCCCCGAGAGGTCGGCAGCGGGTTCCCCTTCATCAAAGGATTGAGCCTCGGGTCGTTGCATAGCTGCCTGGCCGCTCCTAGATGGCCCCAAAGCGAAGCAATCTGCTTTCCCATCATCATCATCATCATCATCATCCACCTGGGATTCCTCCGCCAGCGAGAACTGTCCCCGAACTCCAGCTCCACGGCCCGGCGCACTCGAAGCATCCAGACGAGTTGCTTCCACTTGAAGGTCAGCAGTTGACAAGTCAAACTCAGCGCCATTGATCACCAGGTCGTCCGAGTAGCGGTTGGAGAGCGTCGGGAAGTTCGCTTGGTGATCCGTTAGCGCCTTGACCCTCTGGTTCTTGCTGGTGGCCTTCGCCGTTGCCATGGGTGGTCCGGATCGCGTGGACGGCCTTGACTTTCGCTGAGGAGGGTCCTCCAGCTGCAGGTCCTCCTCGTCCTCGGTGTAGATCTGCAGGGACTCGGGAGCGCCAGTCAAGGTCGGCTTGTCCGCATCCGCTTTGTCGTCCTGCATCGGCCGAGGACCTTGGGCAATCTGAAGCTCCTCCTCGAGCACTCTGACTCTCTCCACCCAGTACGCTTTTGTCGCCTTCGAGCCCTCGATCGCGAGGGAGCCCTTCCCCTGGTTGGGGTCGGAGGCGCCGCTGAGCTCGATCCGGGAGTCGTCGTTCCCCGACCGTAGCCCGAGGCGCCCGCCCCTTCTCTCCATCGCTGGACTTCCCCTTGCTGTCCACTGACTTGGAACGACTCTTGCGGAGGTGGGACCGAGCTGCAAAGGAGGTCCGCAGAGAAGGCTTCTTCGCTCGAGGGCGGTCCTCCGGAGGCTCGGTAGGAAGGTCCACCCGACTCCAGTCTGACACGCTGCTCAACGCATTCGCGAAGTCCTCGTCCTCCTCCTTCGGCGAGACTGGGAGTCCTCGGCACACGGCTCCGTCTCAGGTTTCCGATGGAGTCTCATTGAGAGGCTCGTTGACAGTGGTTGGCGGGGCAACACTCATCGAATTGGTGCTCTGAGAGCGTCCTAAGCCGAGGGTTCGGTACATGAAGACAGAGATGATATCTGACTCACACTGAAGAGGACGTCTCACCGGCGTGCTTGCATCAACCAACTCCTCAAGCAAAGTGTCACCAGTTTGCGCATCATATACAACGCGACGCACCACAACATGCCAAGGGGGACCCTTCGCTCCAGGACCTACGGTAGTAGTCATGGCCTTATCGTGGCGGGTCCAGGATCTCATCAAAGACGAGTTGTGTTGCAAAGACACCTGCACGTCAGACTGAGTGTATACATACACCGGGACTGCCTCAAGGTGCTGGGGAATGTCGGGGGCGTGGATGGGCTGCATGGACTCAGTAAACTCGGCAATGGGAAGAGCATAGTGACCACCGTAGGTTTGACGCAGGCCGTAGTTCTTGATCTTAAGCTTTCGGGAAGACACTGTGTGGAACTCTGTATCAATGATCATCCCCATTTGTGAGCATGCCGGCCTCGATAGAAGAGGAGGGCACTCTCCGGGAACCACGCTAACTTTGAGGATAACCCGCACTCCCAACACGGTGGCCTCGAAGACGAAAGCATATTCACTGCAAAGCTCATGCCCATCACCAAAACGGAAACTCTCATGTTCCTTCACGGCCTTCATCCACCTACCACATCCCCGGAGCCTTTGGATATGTTGATTCACCCACTTCGTGCCCGCCACCGACTTCATACAACCCAAGTCCAAAATGAGGCAGCTGTGCAATTCCCGCATCGACCAAAAGACTTCATGATCCAAAGGAGTATGATCGATCGTCACAAGGCAATCATGGGGCCCCGAACATCAAGTGCACAACCCTCATGCAGGGACTCTTCCTTTGTGTACGCGGCAAGAGACTCGAGCATGCTCCATTGTCCTGGCTCGGCGGAGGCGGGTCCCGAAGTCACCGAGGTCACGTGCACAGCATGGGAGGACCGCGAGTTTCCAGCGCCCTTCTTTTGGCGAAGGGGGCACTCCTGACTCCAGTGACCCAGCTTCTGGCAAAGAAAGCATGGTTCTCGCTTCTCGGTCTCGCCGGAGATCGAGTCGTCCTCGCCCCCAGTTCCATCCTCGGGGCCCTGGTCCTCGTCTTCAGCGCCGGGCTCCGAGGGATTGCCATCGGAGCTGTCCATATCCTCGAGGATGGTGTGGAAGACCTGTTTCCACTTCGCTCTCACGCGGTTCCCACAGAGCCCTTGCCTCCAGGCTGGAAGCGTCCGGAGCGGTCATCTCTACGAGGGGTGAAGTCGCCGTCATGAACTTCTGGCGCTTCCGGTCGACCTCCTAAACGAACGATCGGGGACTTCTCCATCTCTCGCTTGATGAGCTCGACGCCGCCGTCCGTGGCCACATCCGCCACGGTGAGGTGGTTCAGGATCTTGCCTGCTCGTTCTCGCATTTGCTGCATCAAGCGGGATCCTCGAACAGCTGGAGGTAGGTTCACGCCTTCGCTGGCCAACCAAAACTCCACGCTTCTCCAGTAGTCCTTCCAAGACTCTCCGGGTCTCGCCTTGAACTCGGGAGGAAAGGAGTTGTGGAGCTTGAGGTACCCCTTGTCCGAAGGGGTGAAGCCACTCCCTCTCTCGGCACCGTCCGAGTCGCGAACCTGCACGTCGCCGTCCTTGGCTTGCCCGTAGCACTCACGGGCAAGTTCACCTTGGGGTAGCGCAGGGCGTTCCTGAGGTTCCGAACGAAGAGCTCCTCGGGATTCGGGTAGTAGGTCTCGTGCCGAATCGGGCCGAAGAGCTCCGGCTGCGGCGCTCGAGGAAAGGCGCCGCTCGTCATCTCCAAATTGGGCTCGTGAGGCCGAAGAAGACTTGGGACGGGCAGGTTCCGGAGGCGGGCTGTTTTCCCGCCTGGCCAGCAGTCTCGGTAGGCAGAATCATCCTCCGGGCTCTCTGCACTCCATTGGCTGCTGGTCTCGCTCTCATCCGTCCAGTTCGCATATCTTCGGCTCCTCCAGCCAGGCCTCGGGGAGTCAAGGAAAACTGACCAAGGATCAGCTGCCCACGATTGGGCTGACCAGTCGCTCCAAGACCAGTCCCAGCTGTTCTCTGACCACTCGGGCTGCTGCTCTCGCCTCGATGGGCCTCCGGAAGGGGCCTCTTCCCAGTTCAGGTGCCGGGCGATTCTGCGGCCTCGCTGGCCGCTGCTCTCCAATGCCCCTTGCATTGTAGGCGTCCATCGCCCCGAGCTCGCCTCCCTCGACGGAGAAGGCGTCGTCACCTGAACGGTCGGTGCACTTCATCGGGAAGCACGGTGGTCGTAGACTCAGCTTCATCTTCGCTGTCCTCGATCCTTTGCCACTCCATGCCCGAAGCATCGCGGATAAAACTCATGGCTCAAGGAATTACCTGGCCACTATTGAAACTTCCAAACTTCCAAAAATTCCGAAACCCAAAGAACCGAAGCCCCAGCTTCAGCACCTAAGAGCCCCTCCTGATCGGAGCTCCGCTGCCACAAAAATGGGCTAGCGAATCCCAAAACCCTAACCCTCGAACTTTCTACCGCGATGCAGCTTCGAGCATCCATCCTGCGGATCATCGTCAGCGCTGGCCTATATGCGGGCTTTGACAATAACCCGCAGCACAGAGTCCAACGAAGGCAAGACCTAAATACACACATACATACCATACACACCATGTCCCATAGGCAAATCTCCCGCCTGCAGCTCCGGCCATGCCCGCGCGGCGTGGACTCATGCCTGAGTTCGGCACATCTCAGGACCACGAGGCACTGCAAGAAATCCTCGAACGGACGGGTATTGTGAGGCAGCGACTGCTCCAACGATCATCATCTTCCTCCGGTCCCCGGATGCCTTCTTTCACCGGGGGCGGCCTCAGATTCGCTGAATGCCCTCGTTCAGCGCTTGCAACCTCAACCTTGAGCTGCCAGCTGGTCACACCAGGTGCTGGTGTCTGAAATCCTGTCACGGAGTCACAGATCGCCAACCGACACTTTGAGTGAGCTTCACAATGAAGCGGCAGGGCTGCGGCAGAGTTCGAGTTTCGACCGTGCCCTCTACCGGTAAATTCCTCCACTCTTGGACGCGATGGCTGAAGTTACCGATGCGAGTGCCATCGATGGTGTGCCTGCACACAGCAATACACCCTTTTTTTGTTATCGGCGATCATCCCGCTGAAGAGCTGCAATGAAGTCTCAGAATCCAGCAGCGCTACAGTCCAATCCGCTGATGCCGACACAATGACCTCAACCAGGGATGGCTGCCACAGTCTTATCTGACAAGAGGCAGAAGCCGCTTTGTCGTGTCCACTCGTCACTTAGCGGCTTCCAAACGACACGCCTGCCTGACAAAATCAAAGTAGTCTTGAAAGGATTAGCACCCCTGCAGAGACAAACTGGATTCATTGCCATCACGGCCAACGATGTCGCAAACCACAAGTACTGCGTCAGGACTAGACTTTTATTCACAGCGCGCAGAATCTATCCATCTGGCATTGGCTGGCATGCCAGCTTGAGGACAGTTCGTGGTCATCGAGTCGTTCACTGAAGTTTGCCATCCCCTCCAGCCGGCCTCTGCAACACCTGCCCACATGCTCCCATGATATTCGCTCTTGGGTCGCCACGACTAAGTCATCCATCTTAAAGTGCTGCAACCTGAGTCTTCATGATTTGAGGCAGGGTCTGGATGACATGCGCGGAGTGGTATATAATGACGTTTTGGTGATGTGCCCTTGATGTCTGTGTTGCCCTGGCACATGGACATCAGTGAGGAGTCAAGGCAGAGAGCCTCAAGACCCGCCACTACCGGCTTTGACGCATTGAGGTTTGCCGCTCTGCCAAGCGACCAAAATTCTGGAGCTGTTACCCCACAGGCATGCAAACAGGACTTGGGCTGCTTTGCTTTCCTGTCAACACCACCGCACATGAAACTCAAGGCTTGCACATCACCACTCAAGGCACAGTAACTCATTACGGGCATGTCGCGCAAAAAACACCTCGGCAGCCATCCGGGGAGCCGTACCTGACTTTGGACTGAGCTGCCCACGAGGTCACGGCCATGCGGTGCAACTGCATCTCCTGCACAAGAGGCTTCTTGGCTCCGGGCTACCTGGCTACAAGTAGAAACTGAATTCAAGCATCAAGGATGGCACAACCAAAATACTGGGAGCAATGATGGGGGAATCAACGCAAGCCTTGACTTTGAGGAGGTGTGATGGACACAGGTCCACGCGAATCGTCGAGAGGTCCCAGATTCGGACCCACCTGAAATGCCACCCAGCAAACGCAACCAGGACCTTCGAAGAGTCTCTGGCATCGCAGCACTTCAATGGTGACTCTCTTTCTTTCCATGCCCACTCACGATGTCGGAGGTCTCCCACCATTTTAACAAGTGCTCCTGTGGCAAACTCCTGCCGCGGCAGGAAACGGTCCGAAACTGCAAGACAAGAGGCCCGTTCGCATCCCCAGTGAAGAGCCACCTTGACTTAACGGTTTATGCCGAGTCTACGACTCAGGATGCACATCAATCAATCGGAGTGTGAGAACATGCCATCTGGCTGTGGGGCGCCCACATGTTGTCCGCGCTGGTGTACACGGCAGTGATGGCTTCTTGCTGCACGAGAGTCAGCCCAGAGGCCTGCACTTGACTGCTGGCTTGCGCATTGCCTCTCGCTCTGCTTGCAGGTGCGTCGCATTTTTATGCAGAGGCTTTGAGTGCACGAATGCGGAAATGCATTTGCAGCAATGCCAACGACTTGATCCCAGGCTTGTTCTTGCCTCCTCTAGAGACTCCTCCATGAAGACCTCAACTCTCGAACGCCACTGCAATTCTAGCTCCCTATGAACTGATCGAGTAAATTGTGGGCTGTGGGACAGCGTGTGGCCCGTGATCTTTCACACAAGCATCCCGGAGACCTGAGAGCTTGGCGAGTTTGCCAAGAAACTCCGCCTGCTTAGTCGACCTCGCCAGCAATCAGGGTAGCTGATCCTGACCACATGACTACCCTTGTGGCTGAGGATGAAAATTGTCCGAGGTGGCAGCCAGAGTCTCGCCAACTGGTCGGCGTGAATGGTTAGCAGACACTCCTCGATTGATACCAGCTGTAAGCCTAGGGTTTTTGAACCATACATCTCCGGAAGTCGTGTCCCTATTGCTTGGGTGTCACGGTCCGCAGTGGCATCTTTCGGATCTACGGGCAAGAACAGGAAGCTGACTCACTTGTTAGGACGAGCTCGCATGGATGTCCGGCTGTAGTTTTCAACATGGAACCCAACAAACCATCAACAAAAACCGGATCTGGAGTCCTTGTGTTCCAGGAAGATCGTGTGCTCCACGCTGCAGGACGTGAATCCTCTCAAAACGCGAACGTGTGTTCTTGTTTGAGCAAGAGGCCTCAACCTGCAATCCTAGGCTTCAGATCCTTCAGAGCGAGGGCGAAACGCAAGGCATCATCTCAGCAGACTAATCGCAGGCCTGCGTCTTTGTCAGACCCTGAGAGCCGTTCCATCAAGTTCAAGGCGGAGTGCCGTCGCTTCTCGCTCTCCTGATGAATCTGCATGTGGGTAGTTCTCTAAATTAGGGTCCCTTTTTAGGTCCCCAATATAGTACGGCACCCTTATAAAAAGGACCCCAAAATGGGACCCTAATTTTGAAAACTACCCACTTCGACTCCTCTGACCGGCTGTCTAAAACCTGGCACCACCATCTGTCCAACAGAATTAGGCCCTGCCGACTCCGCTTCCCAGAAGCAAAGTCCTCGGGCCACCACTCTTCTTGGCCTGCGTTTGTCTGCACTGCTGGTCCGAGTCACGAGGGAGAATCAAGGAGCCATCGCCGCTGAAGAAACAAAGCAGAGTGGCAGCACTGGGGTCTGGGAATTGGGAGGTTGTCCCGAAGCTGAATAGCTGGAAAATCCTTTTCACTGCACCTCTTTGAAGGAAACCCCCTACTTCTGCAATAGAAACAAGCCAACATGCTTAGTTCATGAGTTCTCGGTATCTGCAGCTGCACGACTGCAGCAGTGCGGTAGGCCTTCCCCAACTGGAGGAAGCCTTGGACGAGCACCGGCTGCAATTCATCTACAGAAGGGCCTTCGTTCATACTTTGACGAGAGAGTACCCTCTTTGTATTTGCGAGCAGCTGTCGCGAAAAGGAAGGAGACGGCCACTCAGATGTCTGACAATCCGCACTTCCTGCCTTTCCTGAGATGCCCGCGACGAGGTTGGAGAGTCTGGGTAGCCCTGCGCATGCAGGAAAATACCAGTGCAATTGAAAAGGCTGAGAAAGCTTCAATTCCGATGCCGAATCGCGAGGTGCTGCGCCCCTTGTACTGCCATAGCCTCGCCTGCGGTTGAGCTGCATGAGACACGCGCTTCGTAGCCTCCAGTGCTGCGCCGCACGCAGATTCCTATCTCTTCACTTCTGAACATGACTTTGGTCAGGAGTCAGAAATTCAAAAGCCTTTTCCTGTCTGAAAAAAACTTGAAGCAACTCTGTCATGTGCTGTCCCTCCAGCTGAGTGCTAAGCCGGCGTCGGCTCGCCTGCATGCGAGATTCCAGTCTGAGCAAGCTCGCCTCATTTGCGGAAGACGCGTAACCAAGACAGCGCCTCCTTGCGCACCCTTCTTGCCCTTGCGGGGGTCCGACGTTCCTTCCCTCAGTTCAGAACGCATACGCTACATTTTAAGCTAGTGGTGGTCGATTGCCACAGCGCTTGCAACTGTAAGCCAGCAAAGCAACTCCAGATACAACTGCCAAGCACTAGCCAAAGGCTGGGTTCCGGTGCGTCGAGGCTGCGTTCTTTTTGGGGGCCTCGTCTCTTTCGAAACTGACAATGGTTTTGCTTTGAGTGTTTCGGAAGGCGCAAGAACATCGCATTGCTCTAGTCTGACCTCGAGGGCGCGGTCAGAGCACGGCACATCTTGGCATGCGGCATTGGGGCCATCAAACAGGCGATATCTCCTGGGCGACAATAACAGTGGGACACTGCACGAATCCATATTATGTACTGTGTTTTTACGCTTCGCACTGCACAGCTGACTGCAAACGAGCTGTTGGGAAATTCCTTCGGCTGTTCAGGATTTGCCAGTTTCTGGCTCGTTCTAGGGCTGTGCCGCTCACCTGGAGCTGGCGCCACCACCAGCCGCAGTCTCCTCCCGGACCAACATGCTTAGGATCAGACGGTACTGAGACTGTTCAACCATGCTCGTGGTCAATTCGAGACTGCTTCCATCGCTAAACTATTGCGAAAGACGAGTAATTGGTTGCCATGCGCGGCAGATCGAAGGCACGTAGCCTTTCGAGATCGCAGAGCCACGTATAAGTCGAGCAAGCGATCGACAGTCTGACCAGCAGCAGCAATTCCACCGATCGGAATTCCTCTGCCGTTCACTTGCGTGCCCCGTAACAAGAAAGACAAACTTTTCTGGCGGATGGGGATCTGGCACTAAAGATACGAGTAATATACTTTCCTGGCAAGCAGGCCGCGCCACAACCGTGGCAGAAAGATCCCAAAAGGTTAACGAGCAAAATGCCGCAGTTTGCGTGCACGCCTCTCGCTGTAGACTGGGCGACACGGATCACGAGCGCATTGCGGAAAGATCTTGTGAAGTGGGCAGGTTGAGAGTCCAGGCACAGGGGATTTCGCTTCGTCATATCAGCCTGCTAAAGCACGTTGTGATCCCGTACATCCTACCCGCCAGCCGATGCTTAGGTAAGCCATCTGCAACGTGAGGCAAATCGAATTGGATTGCTGCAAAAAACTCCGCTCTCGCAAACGTTTTTCCCGAAAAATATCTGTGAAAAGATCGTCAACGTCGGCTGTGACATGCTGGGAGCAGCCTGTGGTGGGGCGTCAGGAGAAGCCTTCTCGTAGCCAGGCGTGGAGGATCACAAGCTTTCCCCTACTTCTCGACTGCCGGGTCGAACTCCGCAGGAGGGAGAGCCAGCCGATTCGTGCGCAAAAATGGCCGCCGCTGTTCCGGGCTCCTACCTGACCCCATGTTCCTACCAAGCAGCGGTGAAAAATTAAAGCGAAGCAGCAGTCAAGATCTGCTTCGTCCTGTCCTGGATCTTCCAGAAGCAGACATAGCCATCATCACCTTCCGGAGGGCTCACTGGGAGAGAGAGAGAGAGAGAAAGAAAGAGAGGGAGAG